GTCCCTGCAATTGGGCAATTCTCTTGTGTGTTTAAACAAGGCCCTTAGTGCGTGTTTATCATACAACCGTATTCGAAAGAAGGTCTTAAAGCGCATTTCGTCACAATTTATCGTGTTTAAGCGAAGGCCGTTAGCGCTCGTTTATTCACAAACCGGGTCATGATACACGATTCTTCAAGGTCTAAAGACATGCAACCAACGGAGAAGCTCGAGATCTAGTGCTTGTTTGGGAGCACTTCTGAAAAAGTTCATTTAAGACATGGATGTAACACCCCGTTTTAAAGAATTTATCGAATTAATATATAAAAATCAGAGTATTATTTTTTTTAAAAATCCAAATTAAAACATTTATCGAAAAACGGGTGCTATTTACTAACAACAACAAACAAGACAAATCCAACAATTCAAAGAACCTACACATGCTCGAGCTATTAAAATAAACAATCCCATAAAAGAACATAAGTCTCAAAATCAATCCCAAACGTCTAGCATAAATCAAGGTTCAATGAAACCCAACGAAGTTCGAAAGCGAAGAAATAAATAATCCAAACCGACGGAAGCATTAACAATCTAAAACAAAAGCAAGTAGTTTAACATAAATAAAATCAAGCGGAAGCAAAAGACGCATCCAGTAAATGACTACCATCTCGCTCGTGTTTACGCCACCGCCTCCAGCTCGTCTCAACCTAAAGCAAAGGAAGAGAAGACACAACAAGGAAAAATAATGGGGGTGAGCATAACCAACAAGCTCACCATTATCGCACAGTTTATCTCGCATAACATTTTAAACCATCATAACCATAGTATTCAGTATGCACAGAATCCAACAGTCTAACTCCCTACTTGGCCCTATCGCAATCCTCCTATGTACATACAATAACCTTCCGATCAGACACGGAAAGGAAGTAACTGGAAACCTTCCCATCACCAAATGGCTACGGGCCTGGGATCCTTTCCAGGAGACAGTAGAGATGTTTTTCCCCTTCACGAATATCATACGGACTGGGGCGTCACCTCTCCGAATCTACGGGCCGATGACCTCTCATTGTTTATGCATTCCTCAAAGGCACTAACATACAGTATGCTTAGACTAGGGTTCTCACGCATACATCGTTTTTCAAACAAAGCATTTATACGAAATATTAAGTGCGATAAATATGGAATACATCATAAATGTACCCACTTGATTGCAGCAACAGTTCAAAGTCACAAACCTCGAAATGAGAAGAGGTCAACACCTCTAGACACCTACATTAAGTCCAGATACTAAAGTCAACACTTTAATCTAGACCTAAGTAGAAAATTCACAAATTGACTTAGCCGAACTCGATTCGACCAAGTGGTTCATGAAGTTTTGTGGATATGGGAACACTAGGACTTAGACTCGATCAAACCACATATTCAAGCTCACATAAATGCAAGTGAAAGACAAACAAAACGGGCCACAAGTAAACACATGGCACATTTGGTCAACAACACTTAACAAATTTTAATATAGAAAACAATTTCCATAATTCACACTTGAATTAGAAGGTCTATCAAATCAACGAGTTAGGTTCTGAAAATTTTACATAAAATTAACCTCCCAGTTCTAAGAAAAATAACCAAGTTTCAGCCCCAAACTCATTGTACATAATTTTATAAAATTCAAACAAATTTTTCAACAAAAGCGAGTTTAAATTAAAGACACATGATAGTGGATGATTCAGGCTATGAAGTTTTTATCTAAAAATACTACAGCATATGAACAACAACACATAAAAATACCAGCCTTTAACACTCAGTATATGAATTTATAAAATTAAAACAACATTCAGCCAATTATCAATTTTATATCAAAACTGAACATTACTGAACTCTAAAAATTCTAAACTTTTTACAGCATGCTAAAGATCACATATTCAGCACCTCCACAAATATTCAGAATTTTTCAGCTTCAGAACAATTTAATAGAATTAAAACAAATTCGGACTGAATCACAAATTAAATTATTAACCCTATCAAACCTAGTTCAAAAATTCTAATAATTTTACACAACACATA